ATAGCATAAACGGCACACAAATTATACACACTGCTAAAGTATACAATAGAGCACTGAACTTGATGATATAAATGTTAAGAGTATAATGCCCACCTTTGGTACCAGGACATCCATGGCAGCCACTGTCTTTGAATCATCATTGAGCCTCATGTAGAATGCTTTGATCCCTTTAGGGTAATTATAAACAATAACAGGCTTCTGAAATCTCACCTCCGTCAAGTATCTGCACAAAAGCAAAGCAATAAATTGGTACGCTAAATTTAATCAGAAACTGTAATAAGACAAACCAGCAGAATTAACGCTATGGGAATACCTTTCATGCTCAGATGCCAAATCAATCCCCCACTCTACATGGTTCTCAAACTTCTTACCATTTTTTACAGCCTCAGTTAGCAGCTCCACTGCTTCTGTATAAGTTATCCGAACAAAGGGTGTTTTAGCGACCATTGTTAGACGATCAATGCAACTTTTATCAATTTTGTCAGCCATAAATTCCATATCTTCCCTGCAATTGTCAAGTAACGACTGACATAGATATTTCACATACGCCTCTGCACAGTTCATATCATCCTGCACGAATACACAAACTGTAAGACTTCTGCATGGAAAATAAGATTCAGATGTGAAAATTCATGGACAACAAAAAGTTTAGGAAGGGGCAGCTTCTACGTTCCATGGACAACGAGATTAAAAATAAACACTAAAATCCAAAATGTATATTGAAGACTACACTAGATTTAAGCTTCACATACCTCAAGCTCTGCAAATGCTATTTCAGGCTCCACCATCCAGAATTCTGCCAAATGCCTCGAAGTATGTGAGTTCTCAGCTCGAAAAGTTGGCCCAAATGTATAGACAGTACTAAGAGAACATGCATAAGATTCGACTTGTAGTTGTCCAGAAACAGTCAAAAAGGCTTGACGGCCAAAGAAATCTTGGGTGTAATCAATCTTCCCATCCTTACGAGGGATACCAGGTTGAAGCTTGGATCTCTCCTCCAGTTTCACGACATTATCCTTTGCCTTTTGAAGCTCAACCACAGCAGCACCAATTTCCTGCTTACTTGCTTTAGCAGACTTGAGCTGAGCAACATCACTTCCTCTCTCCTTGATAATAAGCTTGGCAGCTTCAATGTCTGCTTCTGATGGAGGAGGGTTCTCAATAAGATCCTTTTCCAACTTTTCAGCTTCATTAATCAAGGTAGTGACTTGAAACATCTCACCAGCACCCTCACAATCACTGGTGGTGATAATTGGAGTCTGAACGTAACGAAATCCATGATTGTGGAAAAATGTGTGGGTTGCATATGCCAGGGCATCTCTGATTCTAAGGACTGCAGAAATCTGAAAGTGGATACACAAGATACACGATAATCAAACACTAATTATTAAAAGCGTAAAAGGTCCTATAAAAAAGTGAAATTAGAAAAAGGCCTTGGAGGCAACATATTATCATCAACAACTGCTCTTTAACAGCTCAGTCAAAAACCAGTTTCATGTTCAATCAACCATTAAATTTAAATTTCATTTATTTGTTCTATAAGAAAACAGAGTTTTATTAATACCAAAACAAGAAAGTAGAACCAGGGTGGACAAGCTGTCCAATCAGCATCACATCAGTAAGGACTAAGCTACAATGGAAAAAAATGCACTTTCTAACATCTGTCCAAAATCAAAGCATTATTTACGCTCCTAAGAAACAGCTGCTTCCAATCAACCAAACAAGAACGTAATGTCCCTATAATGTGAATAAACTAAAGCACCACTGAATGTATAGCATATGGAGTTACCTTAATCATACAAATGTTGATCATGTTTCTAATAAATAAATGTACAACATATAGAGTTTAATCACATTGATAACAACAAAATTCAAAAAAGTATATATATAGAGTCACATAGTATATCTGTGTGCACGGTTTATGAGCTTGTGCACGTTTCACGTCAATGCAAACAGCTTACCGTGTTGGTTCTGGAACGTAAATGAACATAGTCCCTCAAAAACTCAAGGGGGAGCCTGGTCTTGGGCAAGGGGTACTTCGATGGGTCAACCAGACCAACATGGATCACCTTCTCGACCCGAAGCTCCACCTTCTGCCTTTTCCCATCTGGGGGAAGCTTAAGCACGCCATCCACGACCAAGCTTGTACCAGTCAGCACAAGCTGCCCAAGGTCACCCTTGTCTGCTTCCACAATGACCTGAAGGTTGCCCGAGCATGACCCATCATTCAGCTCCAGGAATGCAAATGCATCCTTGTCGGCCTTCCGACCAGTCTTCACCCACCCACCAACCCGGGCTAGCTTCCCGGCTAACCCGGACCCTCCATCAGGCCGCAAAATGATGGATTTAATGGGGACTCTATCAGAAAATTGCGCTCTTTGAACGGAGGCATTGTTGTCTAAGGTTGCTGTGGCCAGTTGCGCAGTCAAATCGTCAGCCATTAGGTGTTGTAACTTGTAACCTAAGGCAAAGAGTCGGAATTCAAAAACTTCTCTATGAAATAGCTGTCAATATTTAAACCAGATTAAAAATTCAGATTTAATTAAATTAAGCATTGCAGATTCAATTAAATACTTCGCTGGAAAAAGCAAAAAGAATAAAAATTTCAGTAAACAGAGGACAGATCAATGAGACCCACAACGACACGCACACTCAACAACATATTCACACACACACACACACTTCATATAAATAAACTCGAATTACATATACATAAGCTATATATCAAAATTAATCAACATTAACAAGGTGAAAAATCCGGATGAAAAATTACCCGATTGCAGAGAACGGAGATGGGCAAGCGATGCCGAGACGAAGATAACTAACTAAGCTCACGGCGAGCCAGAGAACGGAATCTTTGACTTAAGGCGGTGTGACGCCGCACCAGTGGTGTACGCCTTGCGCCTGTGCGGTGGCGTATGTCTTCGACGCAAAGAGACAGAGAGAAACTGAGTGACAGAGCTGAGAGAGAGTGGGTGAAGGAGAGCTAAGAGGAGGCGGCGGCGAAAGATACGAGTTTTTCTGGTTGGATTCTCATCTGCGCTGAGTTTTCCTGTCTTATATGCGAAAAACCCTGGGGACGTTTTGGAAAAAGCAAAAGGAGAGAGAAAAATTTAAAAAGAATCAAAAATGGATAAAAATGCCGTTATTTATTTTTAAATTTGTTAAGGAATCTAATATATTTGCATGTCTTTGATTTGAAAGTTGAGTGGTTTTTTTGTCTTTTCCGAAAGCGAAATTTTTTTTATGTTTAAAACCTAAAAAACCTAAAAACCTAAAACCCTGCCACTTCACCTATGCTGAGTAGGATTCTCATCCAATTAGAACTTGCCACGTGTCCACCAAATTAAGAACATACAAATTTGAAAGATGAGTAAATATCCCTGTAGTTTGCTGATTTACCACTTTGATCTACGTAGTTTCTATTTTCTAATTTTATTTATTAAAATACATTTCATTCATTTAATTGATGTGGCATATGATATGGATATGCCACATCATGGTATAGAAATGTGGGATAAAAATGTGGTAAGTATAGCATTACTCTTTTTAAAAAAGTGTTTCATTATTTCATTGAAAAATTATATGAGTGTATTTGTAATGTTAATTTTTTTGTCACACTGTAAAAAATGGAACCTTATATCTATCATAATCCTACTCCCGCCCAAAAGCAAGAGTATTCTCTTATTTTTGGCTAATCTTGTGTTACCACACCTACTTTTCTGTCTATTTCTTAGGTGTGTAATGGATGAGCAAATTGTGACATTTATAGCTCTACTAGTTTTTTTTTTTTTTTGGTTCTTTTTCAACCATATCTGGTTCTGGTTGCTCCGACTTTGTTCATATTCGGTGCTGATAGGACTTGTTTGTGGGAATAACATATTCCTCCAGAGGGGCATGGCATAGAACGTGAGTATATATTCCTCCAACGAACTCTCTAATGTGGGATGTGAGTACGTTCGAACGGTCATGGTTCAACGTTGAACGTTCTCTCACATCCCACATTGCTCCCGCATCCTCCGACTAAAATCTTTGCCTTGAAATGAATGGTTTTTGTAATCTCTGCGCTTTTAGGAGTAACCTCTGGACTTGTAGGAGTCACTTCAAAGTGTGCCATCTGCAAGCTTCTTTGTTTGGCAGTTTTGGGTCTGTTTATAAAGGCATACATTTTGAAAGGCAACATCCATCAAGCATGTTGAAAATTTATTGTACCTATCTTAGATACAAGCTATCCTTAATGAGACTGAAGAAGATTCAAAACTGTTTTTCTCTCTGGCATGCTAGGAATGGCTCCTTTCACTTGAACACAAAGAGAAGCTGCCGCAGCTGGAAAAAATGAAAACAGAAAAAATCATGAGCAAAATTGTTTTAAGAAACATAATCAAAATAGAATAAGGGTTGATGCAGCCCATACCCGCAAATCTCAAGCACTCCCTTTTGGACTTGCCCTCCACAAGAGCCACTGCAAAAGAGGCAGTAAACGTATCACCAGCTCCAGTTGTATCGAGTACTTTTGCAGCAGAGATGACAGATTGTTTAATTGGTTCTTCACCTTCTACAAATAGAGCAGACCCTTTGGACCCAAGCTTCACTAGGACTTGCTTAACACCCTGAAATTAGACATAGAATGAAACTACGGCTTAGTCAAGCTTGGATATACGAGCACCTTCCAATTGTGCTTAAATGACAGACCATCATCCAAATCAAAACCAAATGACAACGTAAGAGCCAACACAAGAAAGCTGATAGGAATAATGTTAGAATGTCATAAAAATACCAGATTCCAATATCTGCACAGTATTTCCCTTCCCGGTTCTTTTTATGCCAAATCTAGATGATATGAATAATAATGAATCTTCAGGTTTCAGACACCAAAAACAAAAATCTTCAAGTCATAGAAAATGGCAGTCTAGAAGCATGACTATCTGTTTAAAGCTTTGAAGACTTCTGGCAGCAAAACTTACCATTTTATGAAATTTCACCACAGCATGACTAATCTGTTCAAATATCAACAAAGTTCAATAATTCCTGGGAGATTGGTGCATCCATTCCTCCAGCATCCAAAATGACTGGTACGCCTGCACTCTTGGCAGCCTAAATATAAAATGGTATATCAGACTATACATGAAATTACAAACAATAACAGAGACCAATAGAATCAGAATGTTTATAGTTTTATCCACTATTTAAAGGGACACAATGTTGAAATTCATAATAAATAAACTTTATGTGAAAAATAGGCAATGAAAATTAAGGGTCTATATGATCACTCTTTGATGCCTAAGAACAGACCAACTGCCCCATGTACTTTAAGTGACTTAAGTGTGGTCTGCTATCGGATTCAACTTTAACACAAAATGGTAATCAGTGGAAGGTATGGTGTAAAGCCAACAAGACAACTAAAGTCCCAATCAGAACTAAACCAAAAAAAGATCCTATGATTAAACAGATTATCAAGCAAATGACTGATTATCCTTGAGCAAATTACCTTATGCCTGCTGAGATCCTATATGGTGTTATGTTGTTTACAAGGCACAGACCTCAATTCGAGACTCAAATATCCAAATCAATAGCACTTCACACCAATTTAATCGTTTACAGCTCTGTAGAAGTCATAATTGTCACATACAGTTTAAGAAGTCACTATTAAATCATTCAATTTCACATGGCAAAAAACAACATAGAATATTTAATTAGATTCACACACATGCGACAAGTAAAATATAAGTGTATACCTTCCTGAGCGTTTTGTTCTATTCAATAAGTTAGTCTGAAAAACCTATTCTGAGCAAGACATCACTTGTAATTTCAAACTCAAAGTTGGTTGAACTAATGCCTTCCAGAAGCTACATGGAGCTTCCTTCTCCCACAAAACCAATCAAGCTATTATGTTGATTACTAAAGAACCAGTGTGCTGTTAAGCTAATGCTGTTTTTTGTTGTTCACATCCAGTTTGGAAACTCCATAAAAATCCACAACTCAAAAATGTACTATTAAAACTCCTTCAGTTTAACTCACAATATCTCTACCTTTGATCTTCCTGCCACATTCTCATCAACAAACTGAAGGAAATGTCTTGCCAGAAAAACAGAACAAAAAGCCTAAAAGAAACATCAATACCGCACAGATTCACGCATACAGTAGCCAATCAGCCCTTTTACCTAGATCCAAGAAAGCTCAAAGCTTTCTAATACCCAACATACATAATCACAAATGCCAACAACATAAATTTCACAAATTTCAATTCCTCTATCATATGGCCAATCATCTTCCATTCTGTAACAAAGTAAATGAAACTTTCTTAGATTTCAAGTTGAAACACCTTCAACAAAACGAATCCTGTTGTAAGTAAAATCAAAACTAAATCATCAAAGACTTCACAAAGTCATTTTAAGAGCAAGTGATTCTAATCTAGCAGAAGACAACAATCTCCAAGAAGCTTACCATATTTCATCATTACCCAAAGTGTAACATCCAATTTGATTACTATTAAATAAATAAACAAAAGTGAATTTAAAAATTAAAAAATTAGAAAAGCCCTGACCTTTGCAACCTGAGTGTTGACCGATTCTGGGATCTCCCTCTGAAGCAAAACAATCCCAGCATTCCTCACAACCTCCAAATCCCCATCAGAAAGCTTCTCAGGCCAGCAGTGCATGTTGGCACCACCAACAATGATGATGGAGTTTTGCCCATCAGATTGCAACATCACCACAGCATGCCCAGTGGGTGCAGCAGAAACAGCACTCAAGTGATCAAGGTGGACCCCACCACTCTGCAGAGCCTCAGTGATCAGCTTCCCATGGGCATCTTCACCCACCTGACCCACAAAGTATGTTGGGTAAGAAAGCTTGCCTCCACAGGCAGCCTGGTTGGCGCCTTTGCCACCAGCCAGGGTCTGGCCATTCTTGGCTGAAATGGTCTCGCCTTCTTTGGGCAGCCTGTCAATCTCCACATAGATGTCTGCATTGGCTGAGCCCACTACAACAAGAGGTGAGCTTGTGATGGTGAGAGGGGTTGGTGGGTTTGGAGTTTTTGATGCATCTGTGGAGAAACAGGGAAATAGGTTTCTTCTATTGGATTGGTTTTGGGTGTTGTTGTTGAATTGAAGATGTGGGTTTGTGTTGATTGCTCTGTTTGGGTGGTTTGAGAAATGGGTTTGGATTTTATCGTACCATTGATTTGATGGTGAAAATGCTACCGCTCTCATGGCACTCATTGCTGTCTCTCTCTGTCTCTCTGTCTCTCTCTCTATCTCTCGCAGAAATTAGCTTTCTAGGACTAATCGAAAATTCTAATACTTTCTAGCAGATGGATTGGCGAGTTGGTAACAACATGATTTCAGCTTTTTACACCCCAGTTTGTATCTCCCTTCCCGCAAATTAGATGAAAATTGGGACGAGTCAGGTAAAATCTAAAAAAATCCAAACGTCCTAACGTGGTCATCAGAGAGCCTCTTTCTCCAAATTCATGTAAACGAAAGCCACGTGTCCCAAACACAAATCTGCTGCTCCTAGTCCAGTGTTAGTTGCGTGATCTGTCGAATCAAAATGCCGATCTCAAATCAACACCGAAACAAAACACTAATCGAACGGCCAGCATTGACCTACTACCATACCTCGTTTCATATCGACAACAGAAGATCATTCTCGGCTAACGATTTTATGCCCATTTGCGATTGTTGTTGGAAAACGTTGAAGCTATATAAGAGAGTTGAGTTTCAAGGTCGTCAATGGCATCTTCTGGTTGCAGTTTGAGCTTACCAGCAACAGCAGCTTACATTTCCTCGAAAACTCAGTTCGTCTTTGGCTTGAAATCCAATAATTTTGTATTGAATTCCCGACCTTTGGCCAAACCCAAGAGGCTCTGCTTCTCTGTTCGTGCAATGGGTTCATCTGCTTCTTCACCAGACAGAAGTTCTCAAGGTATTTTCTATTTAGGTGTATATATATGGTGACCCAATGAAGAAGTCAATCTGAATTTATTTTCCATTTTGAAAATTGATATTGGATTTTGTAGAAAGATATGTTTTTTAATGTCCTTGTGTTGTTGGGTGATGCCCAATTCTGTTAAAAGTTCAAATATTTTCTCACATGAAATGGATTTCATTTATGTATGTGCAGGATAAAGAATCTTTCATTATCATAATTTTTATGTTGTGTTTCTGTTTACTGGTCATGTGCAGAGACAGGTGTGGTTGAATATAAATCTTTAAGTGATCAAGAATGGAAGAAGCGGCTTACCCAGGAACAGTTTTACATCACTCGTCAAAAGGGAACAGAGAGGGCCTTCACTGGGTATATTATATGCTTCTTTAATCTGGAATTTGATGTTTGTTATTGCAGAAGATCCACTATCTTTCCAACTTTGTTATCTGAAATTTTGAACTTGAAATTTTATTCATTTTTTGGGAGCTTTTGGACCTACAAGGAAGTTTCAAAGTAAAATTTTCATCTAGCAAGTTATTTTAGGCTCTTCAGACCTAAAGAGGCCTTTGGTAATAGAGGGATGCTGATTAGTTCTTTGTTGTCTCTGCTATCTTATACCCCTTGAATCTTGTATAATAGGAAAATATCTATATAGGATGTGGGAAAATTTTCTTGCAGTTCATGCGTTGTAGTTATGTGGCATGCACATTTTCCGCTTGCTCCGAAGTAGAATTACTAGCCATTTTTTTTGGTTTCTCGAATGGAGGAGGGCCTAAGCCCGACCAAACAAAGACAATTACTAGCCTTTCTTTACAAACAATTGAAGAATGGCTAGTAATTGGCTTTGTTTGCATAATAATAAGTCAGAAGGACTTTCTAACCATGTCATGAGGCAAACATGAGCAAGTTTCTTTATGCGTTTTATAGGGTTGGAATCTGGCTTCTGACTTAGGAAAAGGGTGAGGACAAGAGTACTCAGGATAGTATCATAGTATACAGCATAAAGGATGGATTTTTCTCTTTTCAGCCTTGAGCCTTGCTCACCCGTAAAAATCTTTATGCCAGTTGCAAGCTTGAATACGTGGTGGAATGAAAAATGCTTCTCATGCTTGCTTCCCACATAAGCACAACCAAGCAATGTTGATGGAGACAGTTAGCTACTCGCATTCCTCTTATCAAATTTCATCTGTTATTCATGTTGGCCTTTTTATCTTAATCTTCAGGGAATACTGGAATACCAAAACCCAAGGAACTTACCATTGCATATGTTGTGACACACCTCTATTTGAGTAAGTACTATTCTAGCTAATTTTGGGTTTTCATAGAATATTATGCTCTTGCGCATTCTTTTAACATCGATCGATAAAAATATTTTCACCTTCAGATCATCTACCAAATTTGATAGTGGAACCGGTTGGCCATCTTATTACCAGCCGATAGGAAACAATGTGAAGTCCAAGTTAGACTTGTCTATTATAATCATGCCTCGCACGGAAGTTCTTTGTGCCGCATGTGATGCTCATCTTGGCCATGTCTTTGATGATGGACCACCACCCACGGGAAAGCGTTACTGTATAAACAGGTAAGTAATCGGTTCCCCTTTTTCTTTACCTTTTTTTCTTGCCCTTTCTCCCCATATATTGAGCTTTTAGAATGGACTTGTTATGACAAGAAACTACCCCTGCAGTGCCTCTCTGAAACTAAAACCAGTGTAGGAAGCAAAATCTCGCAAGAGGGTGACTCTTTTGTGCCGGCTCACCGGAGGATTGCCAGTCAGTTACAGACGGGGACAGAACTGTTTCATGAACTCACAAATTCAAATTGTTAGCCATGTTTCTTCATGAAAAAGAATATGTTAGCCATGTTTATGAGGACCTAAAGTGTATATGGGCAATTCCTAAGGCAAAATATACATCTTAATATTAATATCTCATGTATAGATTAGATAGCAGGATATTGGCGGAATATGCTTCTTTTACTATCAACATTTTGGGGCTTCCCCTTGCAAACTACACTAACACCTCTACGAAACTGTTCAGTTTGCTCTCCATTTTTAAGAGGACACTACTTCCCTCCTTTAACCATAAGGAGAAACTCCTCCTTACCTTATCCATAAGGAGGAACTCCTCCTTACCTTATCCATAAGGAGGAACTCCTCCTTAGTGATGTGGCTCAACCACAAACTAACATGTGTACTTTTTTTTCACTAAAAAATATTTTTGTTTCTTCTCTTTTATCATTCATAACTGATTTTTTTTTCCCTTTCATCTATCCCACAAATAACCTCTTTAGTTTTTTATAATTAGGCAATGAGACATTATAGATGTACTTTAATTTCTTACTAGCCCCTTGGCACATGTTCATGCATATGCCAATTGGTTTTATTTTTTATTTTTTAATTTATTTTTAGAATTAAGAAAAGATAACATGGGTAGTTATGTTCCATAAAAGTAGGACTTATTATTTGATTTTGTTTTTAATTTTAATTTTTTTAATGTGAAAAAATGTGAATTTACCATATTATCCTCATTTAATTAATAATTTCAATTATTAATGTTTGAATTAACCACTTGCATTTTTTTGTATTTTGAATGTTTCACCATTTTCTGCATTTTGCTTTATATATATAGATTCTACGGTCTCTACAACTCAAAGTTTGCGTGATTCAAAAATGTCTATATCCTTTAAAAAGATACAACTCCATGAAGAAACTATGCCTACTGACATTGTCAATGGCAATTTGGCTTAAGGTGAACGAGAGGAGTTAGAAAAGTCCACAAAAGACTTCAAATTTAACTGAGGTATGAAATAAAAAAATAAATTAGTTTTACTAATGAAATAAAAGGAAAGGAGGAGTTTCTCCTTACCCGTAAGAGCACTTCCACCAGTTAGCCCCTTGCTATGGCAAGGGAAGCCCTAGGGCAGCTACTATTCACGTGAATAGTGGCTGCCCTACCCTCCCTTAGCAAAATGTGTTTCCAGCAGTTTAGGTTTGCCATGGCAAATACTATTCATTTTTTTTTTTTTTTCACAACTTTGTTTACTTAAACAATTAATTTGGATAACATTTTCGGATAAGATTTTTGGGTTCCTACGTATGAAAAATCATTTTCTCAAGATTTTTAGCGGAGGTGCAATATTGACTAAGTATGAAAAATGGTTTTTCGAAATAATCATTTTCTCAAGAAAATTTTTGGCGGCTTTTATTCCTTACACATCAAATAAGAAAACTTGATTTTATGGGATTTTAATATGAAGTATATATTGACTTAATGAGCCATCATTTTTAGCCTAAATCGTATTTTGCACTAAAACCGATTTTTCATATTTTGATTTGGTGGGAATTTGATTTTATAGTATTTTCGATTTTTTTCTTTTTTTTATTGGTAACAATGGGGGTGACGTTATCGTGACATCAGCTCAGCCCGCAGGCAATCATGCAGGCCGAACCCCACCTCGGGCCAGCCCAGGCTGCTGGCCCCCACCTCTTGCCCGGGCTCCATTTTGTTGCTGGAAACGCCTATAGTACCCAAACACCCCCCCAGCCCGAGCCCAGCCTGCACTGCTGGAAATGCTCTAAGGAGAGAAGTATTGTCTTTTTTTATATAAGTACTCTTTCTATGAGGTAGCTCGATGATCAGGCACCTCTTTCTTGACATGAAAGTTCAATGCTGGTGAGAAGAAGGAAAGGCAAATAGGAAGAGGAATGCTTTCCACTTGCTTTATTCTATGTATCTTTCTTGTAATTTTCATTTCTTAATTGATTCATTGAAAAAACTCTATTTTTATTAAATAAAATGATTGGATTAAGAAATAAAAGAAATTAATAAAAATATTATATTTTTAATAAAATGATGGGATTAAGAAATAAAATAAATAAGTTCGAGAAGACTTGCGTGTACTGTAATTAAACCAAAAAAAACAAAACAAAAGAAAGTCTAGGTGCTTAACACATTTGTTTCATAACTTTAGTATTTGAAAACAAATTTTCCAGTAGGCTTTTTCTTGTTACATTGAGGGAATCAAATTCTCCTAGTAGCCTAATCTTAAGCTAATGAATTTAAAGGGAGAAATTGACAAGTCCCTTGTTTGGTAACTTAAGAGTGGAATTTATTAAATAATGCGTAAAAAAAATTGTGGAAATTGTAGCATCAAATTCTCAAGTTTAATTTCTACCAAAATAGATGTCATTTCGCAATTTCCACAGTGCCATTTACAAAATTATGTCATTTACAAAATTTGACATACATAAATTCAAACACTGAAATATTCAATTGCTATAATTGAAATGTTGGAAATCTAAATTACTTCATTTTAGAATTCTATGTAATTTTCAATTTCGTCATCCAAACGGAGGGCAATAGATTTTTTTTTTTCCAATAAATTTATTTATATTTAGGAGGATTTGATTCGTGGAAAGGAATCCATATGGAGTATCAAGCAAAGAAAATTTACA